AGTTCCAAAACTTAGTTATAATCTTCTATCTGTCGGTCAATTATGCGATCTTGGTCTTGAAGTAACATTTTCTGCTCATGGTTGTCGTGTGCAGGACCCACGGACAGGACAACTTCTTGGAACTGGTCGCAAGGTGGGGCATTTGTTTGAGCTCAACTATCTGCATATTTCTGATAATAAAATGGATACACCATCATTTCCAAATGATCGATTCATCCAAACCCTGCTTTGTGCTATTGAATTAGAGTCTTTGCAAATTCCATATCAACAAATCCTCCAAGTCTGTGCTGCTACTAACATTTCTCCTCTCCATTTGTGGCACTCACGACTCGGACATACCTCTGTCGGTAAACTTCGTCCACTTATCTCTCGTGGTTTATTAGGATCAATTCCGAATGAATCTGTGCATTGTGTGTCATGCCAATATGCAAAACAACCAGCTTTATCTTTTTCAAGTAGTCCTTCTCATTCTACTGCTCCTTTTGATCTTGTGCATTCTGATTATCATTGTTTTCCTGCTATTACTTCGTTACATGAGCCTCAATCTTATCAAGAGGCCTCTTCTAACCCTCTTTGGCAACAAGCTATGCAAGATGAATTACAAGCTCTTGAGAACACTCGTACATGGGATTTAGTTGATCTTCCTACTGAAAAATCTCTAATAGGCTGTAAATGGGTGTACAGGATCAAAACGCGATCTGATGGTTCTGTGGAGCGTTATAAGGCACGCTTGGTTGCCAAGGGTTTTACACAGGAGTATGGAATCAACTATGAAGAGACATTTGCTCCAATTGCTCATCTTACATCTGTGCACAGTTTGCTTGCTATCGCTACTATACGGAGATGGAAATTGTTTTAGATGGATGTGAAAAATGCTTTTCTTAATGGTGACCTAGAAGAAGAAGTTTATACGAAACCACCTACTGGGCTCCACCATCCTCCAAACAAGGTATGTTGATTGCGCCATGCATTATACGGGTTGAAGTAATCCCCTCGAGCTTGGTATGCAAAGTTTAGTGCTACTGTGATTGAGTTTGGTTTTACTTCCAGTCCACATGATACAGCTTTGTTCATTCGTAAGATTGCTCGGGGTATGGTTCTTTTACTTCTTTATGTTGATGACATGATTATTACTGGAGATGATGTCGCAGGTGTTGAGGAGTTAAAACAATCTCTCAGTCA